ATTCCTACGGCCTCAACTGCACAACCAAGGCAGCCTCAAGCTCAGCCTCAGCGTCAAGCTTCCATTCCTTCTGCACAACCAAGTCAGCCTCAGCCTCAAGCTTCCATTCCTTCTGCACAACCAAGTCAGCCTCAGCCTCAAGCTCAAGGTCAGTCTCATCCTCAGCCAGAACATCTCACCACTGTTAACCAATCTGACTTAGATAGGTGGTGCCAAAAAGAACTTGGTATGTAATTTGATGTTTCAATCTTTTGAACAATCTTATTTTGTGTAATGTAGTTCCTTGCATCTTTTGAACCATGTTATTTTGTGTAATTTGGTTGCTTATCTTTTGGATGATGTAAAACTCTTACTTCTATGTAATATATTTAGTTTATGATATTTTCATAATTATTTTGATTGTAGTATATTATAATTACAAATTAAATATTTTGAAAAAAAAATCAAAAGTTTTAATTAGCCATGAAATTCATTTATTGTTTGAACAAAATCAGATTGAAACGAAAATGGTTGTTTCTATTACGTAGCAAATATGCTACAAAGGAATGTAGCAAATTCGTAGCACAGTGATACAGAAGGGATCGTTGCATTTAGTAGCTATTAGCTTGCTACGATTAAAACGTAGCACTTCGTAGCTATAGTATGCTACAAACCTTTCGTAGCAAATCGTAGCAACTTGCTACAATTTTTGATACGGTGAATTTCTTGCTACGCTCGTATAGCTACGTTATGCTTTTCGTAGCCTTTCGTAGCTAACCTCGTATATAGCTACGAAATTTCTGTTATAGCTACGAAATAAAATGTAGCTGTGGGCAGTTTTTTTACTAGTGATTGTGGATGCATTTAACTATTATTGACATATTTCCTTATAAATAATAGAAGATTCCTAAACTTATATCTATTGACATATTGTGCGTGACTGAGTTGGAAGGTGTGGGGTAATTTACCAAAACCAAATTGTTAAGCGTATCTTTGTTATTATAGATATGATTTTTCATAAGATATAATAATGATAAGATTATTAGAGAGTTAATGTAACATAATTTTCTAGTAATAGTCCATTTTTAAGAAAATCACACATGAAGTAAAGTCATGACATCTGTTTTAATATATAAGACTAGATTTTGACCCGCGCTTGAAAGCGCGGAAATTTTTTATGATTAAAAATTTATATAATTGGGTTTTGTCTTAGTTTAAAGAATATTTTGATATAAAATCAGTTCACCAAAATTTGTGGTGATGATTATTTTTCATTAGTTTTTAGTTTCAGTTTTTATTTTTAGATTTTGGTTTTTGGTTTTTAGTTTTTAAGTTTCTACTTTTCATTTTCACTTTTTGGTTTGGGTTTTTAATTTTTAAACCCGCTAAGTTGGTTTGAACTAATATTACCAACAAACAAATCTCAAATAATCGAACATCTAATTCAAAACTGAAAAGATGACAACAAATTTAAAAAAAAAATTTGAAATAGTTTATTTTGTAAATTAACAAAGCAAAAAAATATAACACGTGTTTTCAGCTTTTGGTTTTGGATTTTAGTTTTTAGATTTGGTTTTTGGTTTTGCTTTACATTTTTTTAATCAGTAAATTATTTAAGAAAAATAAAACAATAAATTATTTAAAAGTTACCATTGAAATTTATCAAAACAAAGTGATTGTTATTTAGAATAAAAACAATATATTAACATGTTTTAAAGTACATGATTTAAATAAATGATTAATAATAGATATTTTTATTTTGTTAAAAATATTAAATACCCTTTGGGTCTGAAAATAATAATTGATTTTTTGATCTTTTAAGGTTATAAGTTTATTCAATGTTTTTAGAGTTTTTTTTCTTAATACTAAGCCCAAAAACCAAACTATATAATTTGTTTAAAAAATAAAAGTAAGCCCAAGACTATATTCCATAAATAACCATTGGTTTAATTTAAATATAATTCGTAGATTTTCATATTCCATATTTTGATGATATATATTTTTTTAGAACATTCCATATTTGTAGGAAAAAATATGTGTTTTCGGTATACACATAGATACCTGCCATATTTTGAAGGTAGTTTACATTAAGGTCGTCTCTTTACATTAATTGTGTTGGTTTCATTTAAGTAATACGGTTCAATCAATTATATAACTTATATTATTTGTAACATTCTAGAAATGGTCCAAATTTAAATGACAACTTGTATCAGTAGATAAAAAGAATGACTCTGTTTTAATATAGTTTGAAAGCGCGAATTTTTNTTTGTAACATTCTAGAAATGGTCCAAATTTAAATGACAACTTGTATCAGTAGATAAAAAGAATGACTCTGTTTTAATATAGTTTGAAAGCGCGAATTTTTTTTTATGATTTAAAAATTAATATAATTGGGTTTTGTCTTAATTTAAAGAATATTTTGATATAAAATCAATTCACCAAAATTTGTGGTGATGATTGTTTTTAATTAGTTTTTAGTTTCACCTTTTATTTTTTAGATTTTGGTTTTTTGTTTTTAGTTTTTAAGTTTCTACTTTTCATTTTCAGTTTTTGGTCTGGGTTTTTAATTTTTAAACCCGCTGAGTTAGTTTGAACTGATATTACCAACAAACAAATCTCAAATAATCGAACATATAATTTAAAACTTAAAAGATGAAAAAAAATTTAAAAAAAAAATTGAAATAGTTTATTTTGTAAATAAACAAAGCAAAAAACAATATAATATGTGTTTTCAGCTTTTTGTTTTGGATTTTAATTTTTAGATTTGTTTTTTGGTTTTGCTTTACATTTTTTTAATCAGTAAATTATTTAAGAAAAATAAAACAATAATTTATTTAAAAATTAGAATTGAAATTTATCAAAACAAAGTGATTGTTATTTAAAATAAAAAAATATATTAACATGTTTTAAAGTACATGATTTAAATAAATGATTAATAATAGATAATTTTGTTTTGTTAAAAATATTAAATACCTTTTTGGTCTGAAAATAATAATTGATTTTTTGATATTTTAAGGTAAAAAGTTTATTCAATGTTTTTTGGAGTTTTTTCTTAATATTAAGCCCAAAAATCAAACTATATAATTTGTTCAAAAAATAAAAGTAAACCCAAGACTATATTCCATAAATAACCACTGGTTTAATTTAAGTATAATTAGTAGATTTCCATATTCCATATTTTTGATGATATATATTTTTTTAGAACATTCCATATTTGTAGGAGAAAATATGTGTTTACGGTATACACATAGATATCTGCCGTATTTTGAAGGTAGTTTACATTAATGTCGTCTTTTTTACATTAATTGTGTTGGTTTAATTTAAGTAATACGGTTCAATCAATTATATGACTTATATTATTTGTAACATTCTAGAAATGGTCCAAATTTAAATGACAACTTGTATCAGTAGATAAAAAGAATGACTCTATTTTAATAGAATAGATATACGAATTTGGAGAGTTGTGTGTGTTCGAGAGTTGTGTTGATTAAATACAACCCTTGGACTATTATAAAAAGAAAAGGCTCGTGTATTGTCTTGTACGGTATAGAAAAACGAGAGTTTTATAACATACTATAATAATACTGATCATTAAGAAGAGATTAAGGAAGGCTTTGTGATTTCTTTTCCATCAAATAAATCATCAAAGAAAGAAGGTCAAAGGGGAAAATCTCAATTGATGGAATTGCACTCAAGCATGGATCAAGGTTAGTGTTTCTATTTTCTTTAGAAACATGTTGGATTGAATTAAAGTAAATCTAAATTAGGTCTTGGTGTTGAAATAAATTAACAGGAGCTTGTGTTGTCCGGGATGGATTCCCGTTTGCTGCTGTATGATCAGTTGTTTTCTGTTGATTTCAGTAGTCTCCTAAGGTAGGGTCTCGTGGGCTCCTCATAATGGGGTGATTGGGAATCGATTTGTACATGCTGCTCAGCCTGGACTTCGAAGAGTTCCTCTAAGAGTTGTAGAGCTTGCTATCCAATAGCATCATGTTGTCATGTGCGTTGAAGAAAAACAGAGAAAACAGTTCGTAATTCAACTGGTACCTAAGATATAGTTTTCTCCAAATTGGAAATTGGTGCTGCTGGTGGCGGAAGGGTGGTGGGATCTGCTTTGACTTGCTATCTGCAGGGTGGAGCCCGAGAGATTTGATGCTCCTACCAAATAGGATGTGTATGTTTCAGTCATTGCGATGTGTGTCACATCTGATCTTGAGAAGGTTTTTGTGTTAGTCTCCCTTTTTCTAGCGCGAAATTATGGACCACGGGATCTACTCTGAAATTAGGGTGATAGTTTAATTTAACTTATCAAACAAGTAACGATATTTTGGGATGATTGGAATGTGTTTCTTTTTTATTATGAATGTTGATAAGTGATGATGAATATGGAGAATATGATTTGAGTACAAAAAGTCTATAATTTTGGTGTCTAAAACTTGGATTTCATTCCTCTCTATCTTCTTGCTCCTTCTATAGGTGGTTGTCCGGGAATCATTACGGGAACATGATATTCGGCGTCTATTTAGCATCATTGATGTCTTCTTTAATTATCTGATTTCATTTACATTTTCGGTTGGTCGGTCATGTTGCCGTTGACTTTCTCCTAGACCTACGATGGACTTTTTGTTATTTTTGATTTGTTATCTTATTGAGTCTTTTGATTTGGAACAGATTTTTGAACTTGGTTTGGAGTGGGATAGGTGAATAATAGATGGGGATTATGGTTTTCCTGAACCGCTTAAGTTTTTGTACTTTATATGTTTTTGTTTGAAAAGAAAAAAGAATTGAAATATTTATCTAATGAAAACCGAACAAAAAGTGAAAAGGGAATTTCCTTTTTCTTTAACCAAATTAAGTAGGAGAAGGAAAACACCAAAACTGAGCAAGAGCAGGAAAAATAAAAACCTAAAGAATTCTCTCTATATAAAGAGATTAATTTGCTTTTACAAAATCTAAAACCTACTCAAAAGTTAAATCAAAGTTTGTGTTCCAAAAAAAAAAAAAAAAAGAAAGCTTGAAACATGAAAATCCTCTGCAGGGATTTTGTTCGTGATGGACCAGGAAGCGTTAAACTGATGGCAGAGGACTCTGATGATCTCTGGTTTATTTATAACTTAATTGGCCCTGGCGATAGCGTAATGGCTATCACATCGAGAAAGGTTCTGAAAGGGAGAAGAAATTCTAAACGTCTCGACTCAAAACGTGAAGACTCTGATCAACGAGTTGACTCTATACTTGTAGGCGCTAAAAAACGTGTAGAGCCTATAAGTTTAGACGATGAACTTGACGACACTAAACCTGTAGAGTCCGAACGTCTAACACTGAAGCTAGAAGTGCAAGTTGAGGAGGTAAGCTATGACAAAGACGGTGCAGTTTTGCGCATACGTGGGACGAATATCCTTGAGAACGAGCACGTACCGCTTGGTGCATACCATACTCTGGAGCTCGTGCTGAAACGACGTTTTCTATTGAGAAAACAAATATGGGACTTATTGGCTATTGATACACTCAACCAGGCAAAACATCAGAATCCAAGTTCTGATTTAGCTGTAGTTCTAATGCAAGAAGGACATGCACAAATCTTCCTTGTCGGCAAAAGTGTTGGTGCACCAATAGAAACATCAATTCCTAATCGTAAGCATGCTGGTTACGAGCCTGCGCTGAAGAAATTCTTTGAGAACGTTGTGCGTGCCTTTGTGAAACACGTTGACTTCAGTGTCGTTAGGTGTGTAGTGATCGCAAGTCCTGGCTTTACAAAGGATCAGTTTCATCGCCACTTGTTGTTGGAAGCAGAGAGAAGACAGCTAAGACCTATCACTGAGAACAAATCACGTATACTTCTGGTGCACGCAAACTCCGGATATAGACATAGCCTTGGAGAGGTTCTGAGTGACCCCAAAGTGATGAAGATGATCCAAGATACAAAAGCATCAAAAGAGGTGAACGCGCTGAGGGATTTCTTCACCATGTTTGATAAGGATCCATATCGGGCATGCTACGGACCGAAGCATGTGGAGTTTGCTCATGAACAAAAGGCAATCCAAACACTTCTTATTACAGATGAGCTGTTCAAAAACTCTGACGTGAAGAAAAGGAAGAAGTATGTGGATTTTGTGGAGTCGGTGAAAGAATTAGGAGGAGAGGCTTTTATATTTTCTTCGATGCATGTTTCAGGTGAACAATTGGCAATGCATACTGGAATTGCAGCTCTTCTCAGGTTCCCTTTACCAGATCTCGATGACGTTGAGATGTAAAGATATTGTCGATTATAGAAAACAATATGCCCAATTATTATATTAGAATATGGGAGTTTGATGTAGCTCGATATTTTCTTTTCTTTTTCTTTTTGGTTTACAAAAATTTATAGTATTACCTCTTTAGATACTCTATAAATTAATATACACTAATAATCTCTATAAAATAATATAATTTTATAATTCCAAATTGATTTTTTAGTTCAGTTAGTATATCGATAAATTAATTATCTCTACAAATTAACAAAAATTTATAGTTTTGATGTAATCCCAACATGATTAATTTATAGATGTTTCAATGTATTAAAATAGAAGATTCTTTTGAGTCAAATTCTTAGATGCTTTGAACGAAGCAAAAAGTATTGTACCATACTCTTACGAATTCTCACATACTCCTCATTTATCTCACACTCTTCCAAAACGTGATCAATGTCTAGATTACCTTTTTTGGCTAAACCAATCATAATCATTCTCTCCCCTAGTCTATCTTCTTCTTTGCTCTCTTCACTCTAGATCTCAAACCCAGATTTTATTCAAGTTTCATTCAATTTAGCATTCATATTCTCCATTAATTCATTCGCGAAGAATTATAAACTTTAATTTCAAATTCATGTTCATAATTAACTATTTGAGAACAATGGGTCTCACTCTATTTGGATAATCAAAAACACTAGTATAATTATAAAAATTGTACCAGATTATTATTTTGATTTTAAAAACTAGAAAACGTCGTAAAACTTGGTATGAACAAAATGGTATAACTACGTATAATTATGTATAACTATAACCATACAACTTGGTAAAACTATACTGTACAACTAAGTGAAACTGTGTAACTAGGTAAAGTGGTACTAACTAAACTGTATAACTTGATATAACTATATTGGTAAAACTATATAACTTGGTAAAATTTTATGGTTAAACCGTGTAAGTTCATCTAACTTGATGTTAATCATTTTGATTTTTACATGAGATGACGAGTTCTTTCACAAATATACACTTTGATTATTAAAAATACTATTATAAAGCCAGAGATGGTCATGAATGGATTCCAGATGAAGGTAGTTTGTATGTTAGTGAACATGATATGCAGAAAGATGACCATAAATCAATGTACAAAAGAGGTAAAATTTGAGTTATATTTCATTGGTAGTAAAACCAATGAGACCGTTGAAGAAGCATGACGACATCTTAAAGTGACTGAGCCAGTGGAAGATGTTGTTATTCGAGAAAGAAACAATGTAGGTATTGATTTGGATAACGTGGAGAGCATGTGAAAGATTTTGTTGATTAAGCATCACCCATAACTATTTTGAAATTATTATTTTGAACTCTGAGCTCTGAATATTAAGAATTCTGTTTCATTTCGATTAAAGTATACATAAAATGCATACTTGCTCTTGAAAAAGTTTGAATTCAGAAACTATAAGGAAATGCACACCACGATTAGTTGCATCTATTTTTCAAGATGATTTTTCAAGACGATAGAAAAACTAAATAAAACTTAGTAAAACTGATAAAATACAATTTGAAGATACAAAATTCTAAACTTGTTTGGTTATTTACAAGTATTATGCTTATTATTTGTTAGTATTTTCTGACTTAAATTCAAAATAATTATAGTCAAAATTTTCATCACATAGTTGTGTACTATTTAAATTAGAAGAAATACCATGTTCTTTTATACTTTTTTTTAGTGCTGACCTTGTGACATTATAAAACTTGTATATGCCACGAAATTAATTATATTACAATATGATTTGATGGGAAATGATTGTAGGAAACTAAATATAAGTGGTATAACTATAATATATATCTTTTTATTACAGTAAAACGAAAAAGTATACAAAATATACAAAAGTAAAACTCTGAAGCTTTTTGTAAAACTACAAACTTGGTAAAACTTCGACCTCGAAAATGCTGATAAATTTTCCCACCCAAATTTCAGAATTTTCTCTCCCAAAATTTTCCTTTTTCTAGACCTCAAAAACGAAGTTGGTAACTATAATTGCTTTAGTTTTAGGGTTTTTTTCATTCCTACTATCTTCTCAATCCTCTCAACCCATTTTCTCTCATCCCATTTCTCATTTTTCATTTTTCTTCACCTAATATGCAATTTTCAGATTTTTTTCCAGAAAATAGTGGTCAATTAAGAGTCAAAACTTTGAAGCTACCTATTAAGTGTTAATGCAGCGGCGAGGGTATCATCAAGAATTTCTCCAAATCTGATCCAAATCCTTATTTCCAATACTATTGATGTCTCCGTGTGGTTTCTCAAATGATCATGCGGATTAAGGACCCAATAATGGAAACAAATATTGATAGTTGTATGTTGTCTTATTTCTACTGTCATGGTGTTTTTGAAGTTTTGGTTGTATAGCTAATAATAACTTCTATCAATTTGGTTCAGTGACGTGTTCCTTTTTAAGTTTTTTTAAATTTGACAAATGAAAAACAAAAATTCTGACAAAGTTTACCGACTTGTACAAAAATAAAAAAAACGAAGTTATACAAAGTTTGATGTACGAAAATAGAAAACTTTGGCAAATTTTTACCTAATTACACAAACATGAAACGGAAAAAAAGTAATACTAGATTTTATGAAGTTTTACAAACAAAAAAGAGATACTTTAGCCAAATTATCCTAAGTTACACCAAGTTCTACGAACATAAATAACAAACCAAGTAACATAAACACAAACAACAAATTTAATGTGTTAAAAGAAGAAGTTCTACTTCTTAAGGCAATTATGAAGATTGAGAAATCCTATAGTGAGAGGAAAATAATGATTCGTTCTATGTTGTCTTATTTCTAGTAGTTATAAGAATTTGGATGTATAACTAATCAAAATTTGTATCACCTTAATGGAATGTAAAGTTTTTTCCTAGTTTTAACCAAATTTACACAAACACTAAAATAAATTAATAATAAGTTTGACAAACAAAAATATGAAATTTTGAAAAATGTTTACCTAATTAAACAAACACAAAACAAAGTAATTTCAAGATCTACAAAGTGACAAACAAAAATGGAGAACTTTCTCAAAGTTATACGGAGTTACACAAATATAAATAACAAAATTTTATCACAAAATTTGTATTGGTTGACAATGATTGGTTTTTTCTTTGTCATTTGTATTGGTTACCAATGGTTGATTTGTTCTTCATTGCTTCTTTCTCGCTTTGCTCGTTTCCACGATTCTTTCCATATTACTTTTATAGTCCTTCTCTCCCACACTCTTATCCACATTATTACTTCATCTTTCCACTACCTAAACCACCATCCTTCTCACTTTGTTCCATTTCTCTACTATCAGAGGTCGGATAGTTTCATTTTTTTCATTTGAAAGCAGCACTTCATAGAAAAATGTAACTATCAAATTAAGTCATCATCAGAAAATTCACAAAGTATTACTAAGTTATACAATATAAACTATTTAAATTTTTAATAAGTTGTACAAATTTTTATAGTTATCAAGGTTTACTAAGTTATACAATTCTGGGTTTGTTTTTCTTCTCTTTCGATGGATAATTCGTGATTTGTTATTTCGTTATTTTTCCTGAGAAAATTTTGATTTGTTTTTATTTGAAGATTATCCTTTCTCATGTGATAAAAGGATAAAAAAAATAATACTGATTTTGTTTCAGTAAAAATAGAAAAATGAATTAAAATTGAAATACTTAGTTGATGTCTAGATTTTTATGTCTCGATCCAAATTAAACAGGTGGATATAGTTTGAGTTTGGATAGTTCACCTGGTAAATTTTTAAATAACTAGATTTCATCTGGTTGGTAGGTCTTTAAATAATTTTCGTGATTTAAATAGATATTAAATTAAAAAGGAAAAAGGGGAGGAGTATGTGAAAATTTTTATTCAGATAGGAATAATGGAGCAATTGATTCAGTTCTTTTTAAGTTGTCCTTCTGTTTTGCTAATATTTACATGTCATTGCCATTGTCAATTTATTTAAATAGTATTTATTATTTGGTTTACTGTATGCAATGATTTTTTTTAAAGTAATAATAAATCATCTTAACCATTCAAAAATTGTTATTCTAATTAGACGTTTTTCCGCCCTACGTGTGGATAATTAATTTATTTATTAGTTTTATCATATTGTCTTATATTTGAATTATTATATTAATTTTAGCATAATGGTGTTTATTTGATCATCTACAATTTAACATTTTATTTTCATTCATTTATTTTGGAGTAAGTAAAGAATCAATATTATTAAAGTATGAGAGTTTTTTGAAATCTTGTTTTGTTTATAATTTTTTCATTACCATTTATTTACGTTGAAAATTAGTTAGAGATACAGTTAAATTCTTGGAACCCATTATATAATTTGTACTTAGTTTATATTATCTAATTTCCAACGTATCTGTGATGTTGTTCGAGCTGTATATTGTTTGATTTGTCAATTTTTTGTGGGTTTCCAAGTTACAGTATTTCAGTTTCAAAATAAAAGTTTGGTATAAATCATGTTTAAAAGAAGAAGAAAGTTATTATCATTATTAAAAATAGATATTAAAGTCTTAAAACATAAAAGTGAAAATCATAGATAAGGTGGTGGACTTTTGAACGAAGATATCGTTATGTCTTATATTGGCTATGAAAATAATGTTTCTAAAATTTTATATTTGATGCTTTAAAATTTATTGATATAAATAAATCTACATCAATAGATTTTATACCTACAATTGAAAAACATACAACTTATATTCTCAAAATAATTAAATTTACAGCTTCTACCAATCAAACACTTCATGAAGTTATTATGTTACGAAGACTCTCTACAAAATATTATTTTCTATATTTCATTCTCAGATAAATATTATTAGTTTTCATGAGGTTCTTGTTTTTTATTTTTCAAGAACGGATATAAATATATATATATTGGATACTAAGCGTTAGTTATGCATATTTGCGTATACTGATACGTGAATTTTACTATTGACCCCTATCAAGGGAAAAATACATATTAATCAACATCTTA